AAAAAAAAAAAAAAAAGAACCAAAAAACTTTAGACAAAAAGCAAACGCCCCCCCCCCCCCCCCCAACAAAAAAAACCTTGCAATATTACTTGGCAAATTAGCGAGGGACCAAATTTTGCAGGTTTTAAGGAGCTTCCAATGGCTGCATATTTCCTATGGCGAGCCATTTTCAGGACAATACCCTTAATTTCTCAATCAAGCATTATAGCTAAGGTAAAAAACCTGAGACTGAAGTTGATTGGAATTGGCCACCCCAAAGTGGCTCTGTGAAGCATCATCTTGTGATGGATCATTAAACCCAGCCTGCGTAAACAGACCTTGCGAACCATGAGCCATGTATTCCTGTGGGAGCCACCCAAAAGAGTCAGACCCATAAAACAGTAAACAAAAAGAGAAAAAAAGAAAGTTCCACAAGCCCAGATTAATTGCTTATATTGTGCATACACCAGTGTATTTCTAGGCTACTTTGTTTTGGGTAAGCTACATTAAGGAATGTACAACCGTAGAAAGCATATAGATAATTTTTTTGGAGGAGCTCAAGAAAGCAATATTTCTCACACCAATACTTCCTCTGGCAAAAACCAAACTTTTTAGGAAATAGAGCCATCCTTTTATTTTTAATGTTATCTGCTATCTTTTCTTTTGATTATTTTTCCTTTCAATCTGTGGTCTGGAAAAGGGGGATCCCACAAAAGATAAATCGTGCAGATAAATTCAACAAACCTGAGACAAGAAATCAGTTCCAGTACCAAAGCGAGAATATCCAGCTTGAGAAGTCTGGTTTAGGAAGCTTCCAGGGAACCCACCTTGTGCTCCATGAGTAATATAATCAACAGCATATCCACTTTGAGAAGCCTGTACAGAAACGCAATCCAAATTTCAAGTTAAAATCAGCATTATATAATTGACTGCAAAACATTATACCAAAATCAAATGTCTGAGGTCTTTTTTGTACCTTTTCAAAAATGACCAAGAAGATCAATAAACAATTATGGAAGAAGCACAAAAATACATATGAATACAAAGAGTTCCACATAGCACATACCTGTGTGGCGAAGTCTGCAACATTGTATGGAACATGCGACCCCTGACTTTTGAAATCATCACCCAAGAAATCCTGATTTAAGGTCGAAAGATAGATGTCTAAGCAATGGAAGTCAATAACTAAACTAACACAGCAACCAAATCGATTTCTACAACAACAATTTACCTGCGACATGCCACCAACAGAGAACCCATCATGAAAAGTTTGACTTGGACCTTGAACCCTCATCTGTAATAATCAGCAGAAATATCCTTAAGAGTCCAATGGGATGAGCAAACAAATATCTACGAAAACAGATAAAGAACAATACTACTAACACTAACATTAGAAACATATCCGGGTTGCGATAATGGTCCACCCACAGATGGCTGACTATTTGGGTTTTCCAAAGCTGGAAAGTTGAAGTTAGACCCAAGAGTTCCAATGGGTTGCTGGGAGCCTTGCTGGTGCGGAAGATGACTGCCAATAGGAGCACCTGCATTTCCACGCCCAGCCCCAAAACCCCGGCTTCCAAGCTGAGGAACTTGTGGGGCAGCTCCAATGGGTCCATGTACAGCACGAGTAGGAATAGCATAAGGCTGAGAGGGAGGACCACCATGATAAGGTGGAATGGGAACCCGAGGCATTGGATAATCAGCAGGATGCACTCCAGGTTTATGTGCACCATTGGCTGGCCCAGGTGGCATGTATGAACCTGCATTTAAATATGTAACTTTTCATCGGCTGTAGTACAATATAAATATAATTGAAAACACAAAACCCTTTCTTCGGCTTTAGCTCATATTTTATGCTGTTTTCATATTGTTGTTCCTACAAGTTATACTAAAACTCCTGTAGCAGTTTGCAAAGTCATATCTTGTGTGCTAATCACAGGGTATCAAATATGAAAAAAGCAATTAAGATCGAATATTTCCAGATCTAACATACCCCTAGAACGACTGCTCCTCTTTTCAGGACTTGGGCCTGAAGAGCTAACAGATCCAAAAGTATCGTTAGGAACTAGTCCAGGTCCGCCACCAAAGAAGAGTCTGCGATCGTTGTAAATCTGTTCCCACGAGCCATAAACCAACTTGAGATGTATCAACGACAACTTATTCATAATTGAAATCAAACATGGGTT